CCCCCCCCCGCTCGAGTAGCACAGAGAGAAAATAGCACTACAAAAGATAATAAAAGCAAACAAAGGATAAGAAAAGCTTAATGAGCTAGGAAACACACACTGCAGCCAATGGATCAAAAAAATCTAGAAGACACAACACCAAAATCAGAACACTACCACCCCAACCCAAACGGCTACCCAACACCCCTAGTGCTAGATATCTCTAGACGTGTGTATCTAAGGTCATATCCTCGGTAAGGGCCAGAAGTCCTAAGTCCCGCCTAATAACCTCTTTCCAATTGTTTCTAGGTCTACCCCCACCCAACCTACAACTGTAAACCTCTTGCATCTCCGCATCAGGGCCTCAGCGCTACACCACTTCACATGACCAACACATCTCAACCTAACCTTTAGCAGCTTATCCTCCACAGGACCAATAAATCCCAAAATGATTTACTTTACCTTGAAAATGAATCTTTTGAGGAATATGTTTCTGTGAGATCAAACTGTTATAAGCGTAAATTGGCTTGTTAATCTTAACTATTTCACAGGGATACACAAGATTTTGAAGTAAACTTATGTAGTGTAATTTTGAGCTAAGTGGTGCTAAATTGAACTGAATTTAATGGTATTGAACTGAAGTGTACTAAATACTAAAGTTAAGTCCAACTGAACAGCCCCAACTCGTGAACAACGTGTAATGGAGTACTACATTAAGATAAACACGCTTAAGGATTTGAATCTGGTCAAGTTAGACACTTAGACATTGGATTTATTTAAAGGCTATTGAGAAAATATGGTAGGAAAGATAATTAGAATATGCGATATTCTCTCTTCATTAGTTCATTATTCACTTGAATTTCTAAGTTCAAATGTTTCTTTTATTTGCTTTTTTCTTTGGGGGAAGGGGTAGGAAGTGAGGGTGGGGTTGGTCTGAGCTTCTAATGGACTGATGGTTAGCATAAAACTTGAATAAATTGGTTCCATCTATTATTGAGATTAGAGATGTACTCTGTAAGACTCAAGAGTATAATTTTACAATAAGAAAACTTGATTTACTACAACAGAGCTGCAATTAGAAAAAAACATTGCGTTACTGAATCAATAACTCATGGATACACATACATAAAAGAAATAACACAAAGGCATCCAGATGCACGCTAGCATTACATTAATTCTCCGGATATTTTCCTTTTGGCTCCTGTGGAGGGGTTTTTCCTTTTCTTTTTTGTCTCTTTCTTTATTTCTTTCTTCTTTATTTGGAAGTAGTGGCCACTCTAAGTGAACCAATATCAGTTACCTGATTTATTACCTGTTGCCTCTATCACGTGGCATGAAAGCAAGAGCACGATCCATCCAATAAAAAGCTCCAATACTGGTGCAAAAAGTGTTGAAACATACTTTATCAAACTACCTATTACAATTTCTTACAAGCTAGTTAAAATTTGAAATGCCAAAATATGATAGAGAAACAGAGCTATATAACCACTTGTTGGGCTGCTTAGGGCAGTTTAGGACAACAATAAAGGAACCAAGATGAGATTAAGGTGCCAACACAGGGGGAAAAAAGGAAGTGTGAGAGCATAGGAGCAAGGATACGACCAACATAAAGAGAGAGATGTTATGGGTTCATGTGCTTGGCTAGCAACAGTGTGATTTTGCTTCGGTATTGCCATTTCCTTATATCATAGTGTATCATTTAATCATTCATTGCATAAAAAACTTGGGGATAGATATGGAATATGGCAGAAGTCAGATCCATTATTTTGAAAACATAGTTTCTGGCCAAATCTTGTGCTCAATCAAGCTCAAAGCAACCTTGTACATCATCAAATCAATCTCCAAAAACATGGGAAAGGGGGAAAATGAGCAGGTAACCCTAATATAGTACAAAATATACCTATGTGAACTGTGGAAGTACATAGCAAGTGCAATTCAAGGAGAAACCATATGAACATAGGGCAATAAAGCAATCTAAAGAAATATAAGAATGGCTGACCAGCCTAAAGAAAACCTGTCAATAATCATTAGATAAGCACCAATGCCGTGCGCTTCTTTTCCCTTTTGAAGTTGATTGTGCATAGTCTACAATCTCAATAAAGAGAGAAAGGACAATGACTAACATATTCCAAACATTGATGAACTATGATCATAGTTATTAAGGCGCCAGCCGCCACAAGGCATGGCGCCAGTCTACCGCCTAGGCAACTAGGCGACAATTAGGCGACCTAGGCGGCAACACATAAGAAATCAGGATTGGTATACATTAGTAACACTGATTTAAATAGAAACAAATGTGTTCTCTAAACCTCACATACTTAAAAAATATAAACACGCCATAATATGAGAAAAAAAGGAATATGAAATACGAAATATGATTAAAACAAAATATGCAACTTCTTAGTGCAAAGTAAATACAGTGCATGAAAAAAGTCACTGACTAAAAGGCATGAAAGATTTTCAAAAGGCGAGGCCTAGGCAACGCCTAAGTGAGGACTAGGCGATGCCTAAGCGATGCTTAGGCGATGCCAAGGGAAGGACCAGGTGATGCCTAGGCGAGCACTGAGCGACGCCTAGGCGAGGGCTAGGCGACGCATAGGCAAGGGCTAGGCGACGCATAGGCAAGGGCTAGGCGACGCATAGGCGAGGGATGCAAAATAAGGCAAGACGATACACCATGGCGAGAGGAGCTGACCGCTAGGACGCCAAGGCGACGCCTTGATAACTATGACTATGATATACAAAGCATCTATAAAAATGTCTCAGTTACACACACTCACCTCATTCCCCAAAACTAAGACGAGTAACACACTTAGTTAAGAAAAACGTAATCTATACGGAGTATATGCCATCAGTCACTAATAATCTAATACAATGTGAATTGAGGGCAAAATCTTAAATGGACCTAAGGTCCAAGGTGGACCTTCATATAAGCCAAATAAACATTTATTAATGAGGTAAGCATTTATTCATTTTAAAAAAAAAAATTGTGAGGATGAGCATGTGGACCTTGTCAACCTTAGGTCCATGATAGAACTTCTCGCAATTGAGTACGTCCAAATAAATGCTCCCTCCGTCCCTAAAAGATCTTCCCCTTTCATTTTTTGTTGTCCCCAAAAGATATTCTCTTATCTATTAAAAACCACTTTTACCCCTTACTTTTTCATACCCTACCTATCACATCATACCTTTTTACTAATAATTTATACATCACATCTTACTTTTACAAATCACATCAAAAGTATTTTTGGAAAGTTAACACAAAAATATCTCTCCCTTAAATCCTCAAAAAGTCAATAAGGGAAGATGTTTTAGGGACGGAGGAAGTATTTGATTCTTTTCCGGTTTCACAGACATTACGAGCATCACAAACTAGTCAAATGCAGAAAATCATACATGAAATAAAACAAAAACAACTCGGTGAAACCAAATATGAAATATATAAGACTAGGAGTAATAAGTAAAATAAAATCTTACAATTTCACATAAAAAATAATGAAAATGAAGACCCAGCTGAGATTGTGTGCACCAAACTACTGACCTTAAGTGTAGCGAGAAACTGGATACTATCATAACAACGGATGTACATGAATTTTCTCATGCTTTCTGCAACTAAATCGTTGTCATACATGTTAGCTGCTGCTCCTTTTATGCTTGGGATACTCTTTCCTGATAACACAAATTCTAATGGTGAAAATATGCAGCCACATCAATAAATAAGTTTCTTCGCATCCTGCAGAAAAGTGTCCTCAACAGGTTTCCTAACTACCCGAGTACAATATATAAATGCCATTAATTCCTCAACAACAGATTCTCCATAATTTTAAGCGAAAATTAAAAGAGCACTGTCAAAATTACCTTTGGCTTCTAGTATGTGCTGCTTCAGAGAACTTGAAAAGATCAAAATATCAAAGCGGCAATCCAAGTCGATGAACACCACTGGGCGCCCCAACCCTCCATAATGCACGCCCTTCCATTCCTTGGGCAGAATACAGCTGATGGAAGCCTGAAATCCAATGGATCCTTTCAAAATGCGTCTACCACTAGTAGAAATGCAATATTCGCATAAATATATGCATACAAATATGTTATGTACGAGTACAAGAAGTCTTTCCTGTATGAGAATCTGAGTTTTGGCGGAAGGTGAAGGGCCGACGATCTCGACGACGTTGCCGGCTCGGAGGGGAATGCGGTGTAGAGGTGGCGGAAGATGGGCGAAAGGACGATCCGTGAGAAGCCGACTCAGGTACTGCTTTGCGGTTTCATCTGTTTCCATCCAATCGCTAGCCGATGGCATCTCTCTCGGTGTCTCACTGCTTCTTCCCCAGTGAGAGCTTTCGCGCCCTAGACAATAGAAAGGCACGAAAACACTTTTCCCGAGATTTGGAAATGAATTAGAGCATGAGCAAATAAAATGCCCCCCATGACGTGGTACATTTCCACAAATTAAAAATAGTCCAGTCACATAGTGGCACATGACTTGAGTGGCAAGTTCTACGGTGACAAGTAAGTATTTTTCACTTTTTTTAATACATACTCCATATTAATAAGAAGGAAAAATTATCTCAAATAATCTCACCTTTTCGTGCTCTTTCAAAAATAATCCATTTTTCACTGTCACCGGAAATAATCCCACTTTTTCGCATGTGTGCGAGTTTTGGGTCACCGTTAAAAAACTAACGGCCACTTAACGGAAGTTTTTGAAAATGCCTATTTTTTGCAAATAAATGAAAGGTGGGATTATTTTAGAAAAATTTACTTTTTACTTTTTAGTTTTGAATTTAAAATTAATATTTTTAAAAATATAACAATACACTCTTGTTAGAGATTTGTCTAACGATTAACAAATTTTGTAGTGATTTATAAAATTTATGGGTTCCGTTTCGGAGAAAAAAATATTGTGTCATTTTCACAACTTTTGAATTACTATTTTGGGGAAAAATTTGTATTGAATTATTAAAAAAATCACAAATTGGGTAGTTCCATTTTAGAAAGAAACTTTTTTTGCAATATAAGATTATCAATAAAAATTTTAGAGTGTTGATGGAAAAATTGCAATACATCAGAAAATGTAGTGAGTTATAAAAATAAAAGTTCTATTTTAGAGAAAAAATTGTTGTGTTATTTTCACAACTATTGTAATGTTGTTTCACAAAAAATATTTATATAGAACTATCGAAAAATATTCATAAGTTTTGTAGTGCCATTTTTTAAAGAAATAATAATAATGTAGTATCAAAAAATAATTTGAAGTGTAGCTCAAGAAAAATACAGTAAATGCAACTTATAAAAAAATGTACTCCTTCCGTTATAAAAAACACTTCCTCTTTCATTTTTTTTCCCTTCCAACAAAATACTTCCACTTTTACCCTTACTTTTTCATACCCTACCTATCACATCATACTTTATTTCTAATAATCTATCCATCACATCTTACTTTTACCTATCACATCAAGGACAAAATTGGAAGTCAACTACAATTTAATACTTCCTTACTTTTACACAAAGTCAAAAGAGGAACATTTTTTTCCAAACAGAGGGAGTAGTTAGTTATGAAGTTAATAAATTAGCTCTATTGTGTAGAATAATTTATTTTCTAATTATTACCATATTATTGGTTATTGAAAAAAACAATTAGTTTCACTCTAAAAACACTTAAATTTGGTATTTTTTCCAAAAAAATAAAATAAAAATACATTTAAATAAATTAAAAAACGAAAAAGGGAGAATTTACCTAAAATAATCCCACCTTTCATTTATTTGCGAAAAACGGGCATTTTTCAAAATTTCCGTTAAGTGACCGTTAGTTTTTTAACGGCGACCCAAAACTCGCACACATGCGGGAAGGTGAGATTATTTCTGGTGAGAGTAAAAAGTAGGATTATTTTTGAAAGAGCACTAAAAGGTGGGATTATTTGAGATAATTTTTCCTAATAAGAAAAAGTTATTTCTTTTTATACAATTTATCATAAAAAATCAAAATCATTCTCCCTTTTATATAATATTGGATATGGAAATTTATAATAAGGAAAAATTGATATAAATACTCCTAGAAATTTGAAATTTTACAATAATACTCCCAAATTTAATAAAAGACTATGGTGCTCCCAATTAAACTATAAGTTTACATTACTACTTCCACTATGTCTAATCAGCTTTTCTTATGCTTACATTTAAGTAATTATGCTTAGTTGACATCTTAGTTTTTTTGTTTTAATAAAAGGAAAAAATTATATAAATTCTCATAAAAAATCAAAATTCTACAACAATTCTCCCAAAATCAAATAAAGACTCTAGTTCTCCCAAAAGTATATTCTCGTTGCATGTTACTATATTTGACTGAAATTATTTTTAAAGTATTTTATATGAAAAAATGATGTGAAATTAAAAAATAAAAGTTAAATATTAAAAAACTAATATAGTAATATGTAAAAATAAATTTTTTAGTAATATTAAAGATTAATTAATTCAGCTTAATTGGCATCTTAGTTACTCCGTATTTTTTTTAAATTTTAATAAAAAATACCCCTTCGTCCAAAAATTATCTTTTCATTCACTATTAAGAGTATTAAAAAGATCAAATTTTATTTACTTTGCTTACCTATTTTAATTATATACTCCCTCCGTTTCTTAACAACTAAACTATTTTAATTATATACTTTTTCATACCTATTTTAAATATATAGTTTTTCATACCCTACATATCACATCATACTTTTTCACTAACAACTAAACTATCACATCTTACTTTTACCCATCATATCAAGAGCAAAATTGGAAAGTCAACTACAATTTAACACTTCCTTATTTTCCCCCAAAGTCAAAAAAGGAACTCTTTTGAGAAACGGAGGTAGTATTTCATAAAATAATATAATTATATCATTACTAGTTTTATAGATCTTATGATGTAGTTTTTAGATATATAATTTTATTTTTTGATTTCACACCACTTTTATTAAACATCATAACATGTAAAAGGAAGATATTTTTTAGAATACTGGAGTCTTTATTTGGTTTTGAGAGTATTATTGTAAAATATTAAATTTCAGAGAGTATTTATATAATTTTTTCTCTTATTAAAACAAAAAAACAACTAAGATGTCAACTAAGCATAGTTACTTACATGTAAGCATAAGAAAAGCTGATTATACATAGTGGGAGTAGTAATGTAAACTTATAGTTTAATTGGGAGCACCAGAGTCTTTTATTAAATTTGGGAGTATTATTGTAAAATTTCAAATTTCTGGGAGTATTTATATTAATTTTTTCTTATAATAATTGAAATTTAAAAATTTCAATTCCTAATTAAAGAAACAAAAAATTAAAGAATCAAACAAATTAATACTCTGTAACTTAGCTCCCTGGTTTCCTTCCTCCGCCAACAAGAGCGTACGACATTCTCTATCGTGCACAGTAGCCATCCAATAATTTCACATCCATCCGCCAGAAATTCATGTCCGGATGAACCACACCCCCATCGAAAACCCTAGATCGGCCCACCTTCTTCCTCTATTTTAAATCTTCTCTTCAATCTCGTTTGAAAAGATGAAAAGATTCTCTGAAATCCCTTTTCAAATACTTGAAGAATATCAATTATTAATAAAAATAATAATTATAAAACTAATTATGCCTCGCAGATGGGACGATAGGTGGGGTGGAACGCTCCTCCATTGCCTCGCGCCACGCCTCCACTTGCTGATGTGGCAGGGCGTGGCATTCCTTTGACATGCCGCTGTGAATGCTCTAAGGTACAAAATGGATTTGAATATTTGAAACGGCTATCTACAGACAACATTTAGCGTTAGCGTTTTCAAAATAATCTGCACCGTTAAAATTTTATCCAGAACGCTAACGCTAATGTCTGACGTTATTCCCAAACATGCCCGAAACAAATTGGAGAAATGGGGAGAGATTGGTACGGTAGAGTGTTCTGATTATGAGGAACCTGAACCTGACAACGAGGAGGTACGGTGGAGTGTTCTGATTAGGAAACCACGACATGGCCCAACGACTACACAACAAGAGGCTCTTTGTTAATTATAGCTCTTCTATTGTTAAATCATATTTATTTAGGTACTTAAGATGTTATTAGGCGAGTTCATTATTAGCTTCTTTGATGATTTCTTTACGGTTCTTTACCTCGTCGTTTCTATTGAACCGTCATGATAGCAAACCTAGTTTAAGTAGGATTAGGGTTTCTATCTTTTATAAATAAGGATGTAGACCTTCATCATAATTAAGAAATAAGAGTGATCAAACTATGTTTCTCTCTTGTCTTCCTCGTTCAGCTCCTTCGCCAGCGCCATCTTTCTCTCTCTCTCTCTCTCTCTCTCTCTCTCTCTCTCTCTCTCTCTTTACCTCATTTTTCTGGAGTCCAAAGGCACTCAAAGCTTTCCATATCACAATACTTTGTGTATCATTGGTGCTCTCATTGAATCCTACTTCTCATCTACCATCACTACTCGAGATTCCCCAACCATCATGGAGCAATTGACAGCCATGGACGCTCGCTTCAAGGAATTGAAGGATTCCATATGTGATACAGCAACCCAATTGCAACCAGAGTTTGAGACATGTTTGGCTTTTCAAACGACCAAACTCGATGCTAAATATAACTGCGTCGAATCTCTACTGTCGGCAGGCTGTAGCAGAATTAGTTTGGGATTACAGAACCATGGGTGGCGGTGCACAAAGGGTGATCAAAGTTACGATTGGGCTAGTTTTTCCTACACCCCTCGATCGAAGTTGGAGTCCCCGAAGTGTCATGGCTTGAAACTGATCCGTTGGTTTTATAAGGTAAAGGAGTATTTCAAATTGTATGAAACCCCACGTGATGAATGTTTGCGTTATATTACGTTATGGCAATTCAGGAGGGGCACCCCGTAGTTTCTCTCAAGGTCGGCTGACTACTGCACAATTTTCTTTTTATATTCCCTCTGTTCAAGTTTAATCTTCTCATTTTGACTTTTCTTAATTTTAAAAGAGGTTGATTGTGTGATAGACTTATCTAAACTAGACTCGAACTCGTGCGTTGCACGGCCAAATTAAAAACTAAATAATGAGTGAAAGTATTGTCGTTGGAATTCAATATGATTAAATTAACATAAGACTATAGAATGAAATATTTCAGTGCAGGAAATATGAATGATATAGATTGTGAAACTATTACATTATAAGTTTTGGAAAACTTCTTTATAAACTACATTGGCGGTTTGGTTCATCTTAGCCGGGTCTTCATTGCATATCAAGATCTTCAAACCTCTGTGATTTGTTACACGTGAAAGCGCTACATAAAGCTGGCCATGACTGAAAACTGACTTCTTCAATAAAAGCCCAACATGATGTTAGCATAAGTGACCAACGCTAGAGGGGGGGTGAATAGCGTTTGATTGTAAAAATCGCAGGAATAAAAAATTAAGAACGTGAAAGATAAAGAGCGTAGAAAGTGTAAAGGGAGCACACCAAGATTTATACTGGTTCACTACAACGTGTGGCTAATCCAGTCTCCCGAGAGACTCTCTCGAGCTACACTACTTTCTCGTTAAGCTTACGGGTGCTTAACAAACCGTTACAACCTGAGAACTCGAGTCCCACGAGCCTCAACAACACTTGCTCGGAGATACCGCACTCCAAGACTTCAACCCAAAGAAAAATACCTTTCCTTCGTACAACCAAGGGAAACATGCTTCCCTTAACGTGTATATAAACACTAAGACACTCAAGAACAAGACTCTCCTTAAGAGTGGATATTCAGTAAAATATATACGCTCAAGAACAACTCAAACTTCATACAAGTTGGCTCTAAAAAGCTATGGAAAAGAATGTTGTTTGAATGCAATGAAAATATGAATATTGTGAAGTGAATTGATGAGAAAAGCAGACCCAAACACCCCTTTTTATAGTGCCAAAATAGGCTCCAACGGACCAATACATTAAAGGGGTGATTGGCTTGATTTATGGGATTGAATAAATTTGGGGATCTGCAGGATATTGGCTTCCCATCGATGTTTAGACTCACCCATCACTGGTAAGCCAATTTTCATTCAGTTTTGAAGCCAAAGGTCACCTACCCGTCGATGGGTAAATGCTTCCCATCGCTGGGTGGGAGGTTGACTTTCAAACAAGGAAAGAATCAGCCTTAAATGACTTGCAACGGTCATGCCTTCCCATCGATGGTTTAGCCTTCCCATCGCTGGGTTCCCATTGATGGGTAAAGCTTCCCATCGCTGGGTAAGGGCATTCTGCCTTGTGATAATGTTGGACCAAGGCTTGAACAGCGATGGGTAGAGCTTCCCATCGATGTTTGGCATGGTTCTGGAATTCAATTGGGCTGAAGGCTGCTTACCCATCGATGGGTAATATCTCCCATCACTGGGTGAAATGATTCTGGAATCCCGGGATCACTTTCCCATGCATGGGTGAAATCTATCATCGCTGGGTAGATGGCTAGTCCAGAACCATGGCTTAGCCGACCGGCACTGAAACCCGACCGAAAAATGCAAAGTTCTCCAAAGTAAAAACTAAGTGTTTAAAACACTTATTTAATGTATTTTGATGTCAAAATAAGCTTTGTATGTTGAAAACCACGTCGTTAAGGTAAAAACCACGGATGACCAAGTCAATGCCGTACACGGGTGGTTTTTACCAAAAGACAAAACCGAAAGGTGGTTTTCATGATGTTTTGATTGGAGAACCGTTTAAATGCATTCAAAAACAATTCCTACACAAAAAGACTTGAAAACCACTTCATTTAAGTAAAAACCACGGCTAGCCAAGTTTATGCCGTTTTGCATGGTTTTTATCAAACGACAAAAAACGAAAGGTGGTTTTTGAAGTGTTTTTTATGGAAAACTATTTAAATGTGCCCAGAAGTAAAAACCAATCATAAAAAGTTGAAAACCACTTGGTTGGTTCGGACGCCAAAAACCAACGCCGATAACCGAATGCCGAACGCCGGTTTCTGAAAGCCGAACGCCAATTTCCGAAAGCCGAACCCCGGATGGCTTGGTTTTTGGTTTGGGCGAACACCAAGTGTTTTTAATATGTTTGAGAATGTTTGCAAATAATTTTGATGATATGTAAAATGCAATTAAAAAATGTTTTAGCCTAAAGAGCCAAAGTGCAAAGCTTGGGTCGGTCTTGATCACATTGACCGACTCAACGACGCTAAAGACTACGGTCTTTGTTCTTGGTCTCTTTTAGCTCTTGTTCTCTTCTTGTATTTATTTCTCGCCTTTTATATTCAACAACATGTCTCGTTCACGGCGGTTTGGCAATATCAAAACCTGTCATAACAACGAACACGGCTTTAATACGAAAACGTGATAAACCCGTGTTTCAACAATTTCCCTCTTTTTGATAATGGCAAACAAGACGGGGTTATGCATAGGAGGATTGATTTGAGACTTAAAAAATGTTCCTCCTTAATAATTGCAATTTAGAAATAGTTCCCCCTCAATCTATGCATAACCTTTATATCTTCCCCCTTTTGACATTAACAAAAAGAATTAAAAGTAAACTTTTATTCATTAAAAGGGAAATGCAGAATACAACGGATAAAAATACAATCATATTTAATAAGGAGAAACTAAAGAAGATGTCGTGGCGTCGGTGTTGGCCTTCTTCTTTGAAGCCTCGGTTTTGGTCCTTGACTTTCATCTAGCCATTGTTGAAGCGTTTAGAAAGTGAGTAGAGGCTTAAAGTATGCAAGATGAATGTGAGTTGTGTGTTAAAAATGATCAAGGATGGTTAATATTTATAGGAAAAGAGTATTTGGGCCCTTGGTGTTAACAAATATGGCTGTTAGGCATTGAATGAGGTGCCCAACGGCTATGATTTTTGAACTGCAACAGGCTTCCCAGTGAT